GACAAGAAATGACAGTAATACTAGATCATGAGAGGTGTCGCAATAGTCATAAAACATAAACTTTCAATAGGAGCCAAGAAAGAAGTCCTGTCTTAACATGGCATGGGGAGAGGTCGGGTGAGGGAATAGGAGTTGAGCAGGAGGGCCCTTGTAGGATAATGACTTTGTTCCCTTTGATAACTTTTAGGAGGAGGCAGGCTTTAAAGAAATAAATTTTCAGGGTGGGTAGTGCAAAACGATGCAATGGTAGAGAAAGAGGAGAAATTCCAGGCCGAGAGACTGGTTCTAGCAGGGTAGGGCCACGTGGGACCCGGATGGGTGGTAACCAGGAGTTCCTTTGCACTGACTGGGAGGTTCCTGTGCAGCTCGGTGGCCTTAAGAAACCCAGAGCGACCTGGCAGAGGGCAGACAGAGGAGCTGACTCTGGACACCTGAGCCAGCAGGGCCTGGTCCAGGCCAAGAGGGCCAGGGCTGGGTTGGCCCTGGAGAGGTCTGAGGGGTGAGGGGCCCAGAGATGTCCCCTCCTACAGCACTGCTTACCTGGCCGGGTGGTAGGCCAGGCTGAGGAAACCCGGAGTTAACTGCTGTCCCGCAGAATGATTGCCTCCGTCCCTGCTTCTTACCATCGGGTGCTCCCCTACCTGTGCCACACTGCCGGGCGCTAGGAACTCACTTTCCTGGAAGCTCAGCCCCTCACCCAGCTACACAGATCTTTTGCAAGCGTCTTTGGCTGTGTTCTCAATTTTTCCTTCTCCTACACTTCATCCTTAATATAGGCTTTTGGGCATGCATCTCCTTATGTTTATCTGTCCATCTGTCTCCCTGGCCCTCCTTCCTCGGGCTCTCCTCCCCTGTCCTGGGTGATTGCGTTGGGTTCCCAGTGATTGGTGTCTGTCACCTCTGCCCTCACCCAGCTTGTGCCAGACTCCCGAGATTCCAGGCTGAGTTTCATGCTATCGCTTCTTTTAATCCTCAAAACAACCATAGAAGGTATGTCCTACTCTCAGACCCTGACATCCAGGGGTGTGGCAGCCTCAGGACCTTTGCACTGCCTCTTCCTGGACTTTCTACTCACCATCAAGTCTCTGTCCAGATGTTACCTTTGTTGTTGTGGTTTAACCTGACCATCCTATTTGGAATAGTCCGCCACCTTCGTGACTCTTCCCTCCTTTTCCCCAGAATATTTCTGCCCCCTGACATACTGTGTATCTTGCTTACTTACTTGCATCTCCACTAGGATGCAAGGGCCAAGGGATGGAAGGATTTCATCTTCTGCTATTTTCAGTGCAGTGTTTCGTACATAGTAAACTCTTAGTTTTACATTTTGTAAATGAAGATCCTAAAGAGGCTAAAAGAGGCTAAGAAGCACATGAAAAGTCTTTTAGATGGGGCAAAACTGAACCCAGAAGCACGTGACCTGACATTTCCACTCTAGGACTCTGGCAGTCCGAGACTGGGTGGTTTGGTGGTGGCACCTCGTAATGGATCTGACCCATTGGCTGACACAGCTGGGCCTTTGGAGATGGTGCCAGATATGACATGGAACCAGCAGGAAGCGGCATCCTCCTGTCCAAGGTGCTGGGACCCTGTTTCCTCCTCCCAGCAGCAGGGAGCAGCTGATGTATGTGGAACCAGTTCATACTAATGGTTCTTTGCTTGGGCAGTTTTATTAATTTCCAGCAGAACGCATGGCCTGGACCATCCCTGCTGGACCTTCTAGCAGTGGAAGGAGCTGACAGCTCCAGGGCAAGTCACTTCTTCCAGGTCTGTTTCTTCATTGTAAAAGTAGAAAGAGAGTTGACCTTCAGAGGCCTTTCTACTTCAGAAAAGCCAAAATTCTCCATTTTGCCTTCGGGAGCTGCGTATGGGGCCTCCTGAGTTCAGCACTGCCACCATTCAGTTGGGCACTTGCCGTTGAGAGGATCACTAGATCCTACAGTGACCGTGGGAGGTGTGTCCCAGTGCTGCCCCCTCCTACAGCACTGCTTACCTGGTCAGGTGGTAGCTCAGGCTGAGGAAACCTGGCAGTTACCCCAGCAAGTCTCTAACCCAAGGCTCCAATCTGGTGGCACAGGGGCTGGGTGGAGGGCATGGACCTTGCTGGCTGTGCACGGTGGCTCTGCAGTGCTGGACCGAGATCTGGAGCTTGAGGCTCTGGCTCCTTGCCACAAGACGTTACTGCGGCCAGGTTCCCTTTGGTTCTAGGAGGCCCTTCATCAAGGGGCAAGGGAGTTAGGGAACACAGCATCCATGCCCCCGACACATCCTTGCCTGGTAAAAAGCCCGAATTTGCAGGGGGAAGAAGCAGTAGCAAGAAAAGACGGCACTAGTGAGGGTTGGTCCCCAGCCCGGGTGTGGCTTTTAAGGAGAGAAGAAAAAAAAATAAATAAAAAGGTAAATGGATGCAACTAAAGGCCATACTTATAAGTAAAATAGATCCTGGCTTTAAGGATGCCTTTGCCTGCTGGAGAAGGAGCCGTGACAAGGCGTCTGGGGCTGGAAGCAGGTGCCTCATCCCCAGGCGTCAGAGTAGCCCAGGCCGCACTGCCCTCCCTTCCTCCCTCGCTGCACCCGGGGCCTAGCCCCTTGGCAGCTCTTCCTGAACCTGTTTTTCCAAATCACTAATTAACCTCCTGCTCAGCTCCCGCGCGGGCTAGCTCTCTTGGCTGACTGTCCTTAGAGGGAGCGTGCTCGGCTTCCTGTGCTTCCTGGTGCAGCTGGAACCTGTTGTCCCTACCTCGTACCCCAGCCCCCTGTGCTTCTCTGGTTAGGCACTGGAGCTGAGATCCTGGATCCCAACACCACCATGGCTACCACACACAGATGCTTTACCAGCTGCCTGCAGATGGCCCTGGAAACCCTGTATTAGCCTGCATTGTCTTGGCAGCCCATGTCTCACGGGAGGGAAGAGGAGGTCAGCAGAGCCTTTTGAAACTTACTTTTCCCAGGAGAAGCAGACAGGAAAAGCTTCAGACCAAAAAGGTGTAAAGTAGGGAAAGTAACCGTTTACCCCTTCTTAAGCCTTTTCTTTCCATGCCATTTCTAATCAACTCAAGCAAGCTCAAGTGGAGGTTAAGATACATTGTCCCTTGAGACGGGAGATCTGTCCTAAGCCCTAAGGGAACACATCCCCAAGGGTGAAATAGGATCAGGGGCCTGAATGGGAACAGGCTTAATTCTGAGCTGGCATTCCTGCCTGAGAGTGGATCCTACTTGGGGTCCTAAAGATAGGTAGTATGAAGGGAAGGTATAGACTTGAGTTAAACAGCAACTCAAATCTGGTTTTCACTCTCAGATTGTGTTCCCTGAGATAAGTAATCTTTCTGGTTGTCAGTTCTTCCTTCATAGAATGGGATAATGAAGCAAGTCCCTGGAGTCCCTGGGAGGGCTGGAGGCGCGTAGTGCGTAATGGTGCCAGGCATCAAATGGGCAGCCGATGAGCATCCGTGGCCCAGGTTCCTTCCTGAAGCTTGCCCCTGTGCCAGGGGCCCTGGGGAATAATTTGAGGGAGAAAGGAGTCAACTGGGCCTTGAAGTGGAGCTTGTAACCTTGGGGCCACATGCGGGACAGTTCTGTATTTAGAAAAAAAGCAGAACAGCAGAACATGAGGGGTTGTTCCCTAAGCTGGGAGGGGCTCTTGGTTTATTTTTCAGATGCCCTGTGCTCTGCAAAAGTGCTTGGCCGTACATAGAACAGGTTGTTCCCCACTTCTCTCCTGGAATAGACTCCCCCGGAGGAAAATCTCTCTGAGTCCTCATTAGACAGGGACAAGACCATGACCAGGTGGAAACCGGGATGGAACAGGCTGGGGGTTGCCAGATGATCTCCACAGGGCCACAGGCCTCTCTCACCACCTTTTTAGTCTCAGCAGTCTGCTCCCGAAGGGAGCCCGACTCACCCACTAAGCTGGACAGGCAGCAGTGGGGAGCTAGAGTCATCTGCCCCAGCAACAGGCATGCTGATGGTGACAGATGAAGGTCCGTGATTGACATTGTTACATACGTGTTTTATCTCCACTCACAATGATTGGACGCTTAAATCTCACCATTTCTCAGCTGCATGCTGCTGTCCTTGTGCTACCTGAGATCCCAGCAGCTATCAGAATCCTCAGCTGGTTATTCTGGGCTGACCACCATGTCCTGCCATGGCGCATGCTGTACTCTTTTAGGAGGTTCTGTACTATGTAGGCAGTGAGCAAGGACACCCTTGATCACTGCCTACATAGACGAGGGGCAGGAGAGCAGGACTGCGACTCATGGCTTGAGATGGCCATAACTAGAGCTGTTGGTAAAAGGCTCAGCCAGTCAGGGTCCAGGTCATGGAGGCCTTGCCCTCTAAGCATCCCTAAAGGTGGTGATTTGCATCAGGATTATCTGTAAAGTTTACTGAGATTGCTGGACCCCCGTATCCCTAATATTTCCCCTAATATTTCTCAATCGTTAGGTTTGGGTGGGGACTGAAATTTGCATTTCTGATCAGCTTCTAGGGCCTGATGCTTTTGGTCCAGGACCTGACTTTGAGGGCCACTGCCTGGTCACTGGAGCTGTGGTCCATGGACAGAGCCTCACCTGAGAGCTTGTGAGCACAACAAATTGTAGGCCCTACCCTACAGCTCCTGAGTGAGAGTCGCATTGGGGGAAGACTTGTGGCTGGCTTATACACCCATGACAGTTAGAGAGCCCTTGAAGCACAGTGGGTCAGAGTGGGCACAGCTGTCAGATGAGGTCAGGCGACCACAGTTCCATGACCTCTTGTTTGCAGCTGACAGTGGTCTCTCTTCTGTGCGCTGTGACAACAGTTAGTATTATCCTAGAACACCTACATGGGTGAAAGGCACCCTGAGGAGAGAGTTCTAGCCCCAGAGTCTGTCTGACTCCTGCCTCTCATCTCACACACTGCCTGGTAGCCCGTATGCCCACTCTGTGAGCACAGGTCCCTGTCCCTTACGGGCCCATCCCTCTCTGTCCTGACAGCTGTTCCCTGCTTCTCCCCACCCACAGGTGGTGGCCTTTGCCTCTCTCTTCTTCATCCTGGTTTCCATTACCACCTTCTGCCTGGAGACCCACGAGGCCTTCAACATTGACCGAAATGTGACCGAGATCCACCGTGTGGGGAATATCACCAGCGTGCGCTTCCGGCGGGAGGTGGAGACCGAGCCCATCCTGACCTACATTGAGGGTGTGTGTGTGCTGTGGTTCACCCTGGAGTTCCTGGTGCGCATTGTGTGCTGCCCAGACACTCTGGACTTCGTCAAGAATCTGCTCAACATCATTGACTTTGTGGCCATCCTGCCCTTCTACCTGGAGGTTGGCTTGAGCGGCCTGTCATCCAAGGCTGCCCGTGATGTGCTCGGCTTCCTGCGAGTGGTGCGCTTCGTGCGTATCCTGCGGATCTTCAAGCTCACGCGTCACTTTGTGGGACTCCGGGTCCTGGGTCACACCCTGCGTGCCAGCACCAACGAGTTCCTGCTGCTCATCATCTTCCTGGCCCTGGGTGTGCTCATCTTTGCCACCATGATCTACTATGCCGAGCGCATCGGTGCCAGGCCCTCCGACCCTCGGGGCAATGACCACACCGACTTCAAGAATATCCCCATTGGCTTTTGGTGGGCCGTGGTCACCATGACAACTCTTGGGTATGGGGACATGTACCCCAAGACGTGGTCAGGCATGCTGGTGGGGGCGCTGTGTGCCCTGGCCGGTGTGCTCACCATCGCCATGCCTGTGCCAGTCATTGTCAACAATTTTGGCATGTACTACTCCCTGGCCATGGCCAAGCAGAAGCTGCCCAAGAAACGAAAGAAGCACGTGCCTCGGCCAGCCCAGCTGGAGTCGCCCCTTTACTGCAAGTCTGAGGAGACCTCTCCCCGTGACAGCACCTACAGTGATGCTAGCCCCCCTGCCCGGGAAGAGGGTGTGGTGGAGAGAAAACGGGCAGGTAAGTAGAGACTGGGAAGGGAGAGGGATGCCCTTCCCATGGGGCCGAGGGTCCCAGATCCACCTCAGCCCTTGGACTTAGGGCTGGGCTTGACTGTGCCGGCTTCCCAAAATATACGATGTGCTTCTGTGAGGGCACAGGTTGGACTGTTTTATTCTTTCACTTTTGTGGTCTATGGAGTGAGTCTTCGGTACTGTGTAGGTGGTGATGGGTCATGCATGGAGCTGTGTGATAGAAGCTTTAGTTTCTCTTCCCGCTTGATCACGTGCTCTGTGTCCTGAGGCCAGCCCCTCACCCTCTCTGGAGGTGGATTTCTCACCTGTAAAATGGGAATGATACATCATTATTGTATCCCCAAGATGCTGCTGGAACCCATATGAATGATGGATATGAAAACATTTTGAGAAGTTACAACCACTTTGCTAACGTCAGGCACTGCCTTTATTAGCCAGAGAGCAGGGCAGCTGTTCTTCCAAGGTACATCAACACGTGAATCACTTCTTTCCCAGCGTTCGAGTCTGGTGTCTCTTGGCCTAAAAAATGTGATAACGTAATAGCAGTGGGAGGCTGCCTTCTGTTCAGCATAAGCTAGATTGAGTCCTGGGCTTAGGGTTTGACAGGACATGGAAGGGAACCAAGTGGGGAGGGGCTGCAAGGGGGAGACTGGTACCCACATCCTGGAAGGGGGCTTGGACAGGAAGGCCTGTCCTTCGGGGACCAGGGAGGCCAGCTGAAGAAGCAGACTCCACCTGGGTCAGGAGACAGGGAGGGAGGCCAGCCCGAGGCCCAGCAGCATGGAGCGAGGCCAGAGGTCAGGTCACTCACCAGATGCTAGGATGGGATGGCTCTAGAGAAGGCTGGGATGCCTGCAATGGAGGTGCTACTGTCCGCCTGGGGCTACCAGGTCCCCAGGGGCTAAGCTGACCAGGAAATTGAGGCAGCACCTTCTGGCTAAGCCTTGGCACAAAGTGGAACTGATTCTCCAGAGGAGATACCCAAGTCAGAGCATCGCCTGTGGCCCTTAGGCACGTGCACACCCTACACACCTGAGCCACTCACTCCCTGGGGTCAGGGAACTCTTGGTTTTCCTGATAGAAGACCTGCTAGCAGAGCAGCCCTTGGGCTGTGCTCTTTTCCCCACCGTGGTGCCCTGTCCCCATCCCCAAACAGGTATCTCCCGGGGGATTTCAGCTGCTCTCCGAGGCTTGCTCAGGACTCAGAATCCTCTGTCTCAATGTAGAGGTCCTTAGCTGGTCCTGTTGGCCATGCCTTCGGCCTGCTCGGAATGCTCAGGCTTGCTTGGCAATGCCCAAGCCCCTGTCTTCAGGCCAGGTAACCCCTCTCTTCCGGGTCTTCTGTGACGCCTGACCAAGGCAAGGGCCTGGGCTCAGAGCCACAGTAATAGAAGGGATTAGAGCTTCTTTCGTACCATGTCCTCCCTGGACACAGGAAGCAAAGGGCTCTGAGTCTGCTGGCACTGGCCTTGGGCCTAGGAGGCTATGCATAAGAATCACTTATGTAAGCAGTGGAGGGTGAGGCCGCGGACAGCACTGTGGAGGTTTGGCTCTCATGGTGCCACCCCTCAGCCCCAGCGGGCCAGGAGAGTCTCTGCAGGAATGCAGACTCATGGAAAGGCCAGCCAGAGCCACACAAGGAGGAAGTAGAACCTGCTGCCAGCCTGGGCTGAGCTCACAGGGCAGCCTCAGGAGGCAGAGCTAGGGGCTCCTGCTGTGGGGTCTGGCATGGGGTCCAGGCCGAGGCTGGGGAAGGCCACCTGCAGACAGCACTGTACCCCACCCTTGGCCCTGTCCCTAGCATCATTCTTCCTCCCAGGTATGCCAGGACCTTCCTCGGGTTGCAGACCTGTGCACCAGGTCTGCGATCCGAGAGGCCTCCTGTGGTCCCAGGAGGAGAGCCCGGGGCAGCCCTCACAGCCTCCTTTCTGTCTGCTCCCTTCAGACTCTAAGCAGAACGGCGACGCCAATGTGGTGCTGTCTGATGAGGAGGGAGCTGGGCTCACCCAGCCCCTGGCCTCTGCCCCCACCCCCGAGGAGCGCCGGGCCTTGCGACGCTCTGGCACAAGAGACAGAAACAAGAAGGCGGCTGCCTGTTTCCTGCTCAGTGCTGGGGACTATGCCTGTGCTGATGGCAGTGTCCGGAAAGGTATGGCTTCATGGGCAGGGCAGGGGGGGAGCCCCCAGAGAGCCGAGTCTCTCCAGCCTGCCCCCCAGAGCTTGATGTCCCCCTCCGCCCCTGAGCCCGTGGCCTCCATCTCCTCTGCCGTGGATGCGTCCCCGCTTTTAGGAAAGGTACCCTGGGCTTTCGGTCTCTAAATCAGGAATGGCTTTACCATCTCCAAAGGGTCCGTAAAATCCTCCCCAAAAGGTCCCCAAAGAACAAAACAGTCCTAGAGGGCTGAAGGGACCCAACATCAGTGGCCCAGCTTCTCCTCCCCATTTTTAGTACCTTCTCTGCCCCTGGGCCTTGCTGCAGCCGTCTTGCCCAGGTCACTGCCAGCTTTTTCTCAGGATTTGAACATTTTGGTTTGTTTTGACACAGTTGCACTATGTACCCCAGGCTGGCCTTGAACTTGTGGCAGTCCTCCTGCCTCAGCCTTCTACTTCCTGGGATTACAGACAGGTGCGTCGTGCCACACCCACCTAGGACTCCTTTGGTCTTAGCTAAGACTTTTCCAAGGAAGTTGTCCCCAGAGATTCCCATGGTCCTTAGGAGTCAGATGCCAGGTCTTCAGAGAGCCCCCATGCACCCTATTCCTCCCATGCTTTACCTGGAGCCTGGAGCCAGGCTGGGCTGACCCAGATCTTCAAGTACCTGGATGTGACAGTCCTTTCAAGGGAGAGCTGGAGGTGACAGCAGGTCCCCTCTGAGGAGTGTTCTGTAGGACTGGGAGCATTCACAGGAGCAGCTCGCCCCTTGCCTATCACTGAAGGTTGGAATTCCATCACCAGGCTGCATGCCCAGGGCAGGAGCAGGCTGGAAGTAGGGTGTGGGTCTAGGAGACAGGGGAGCAGAAGTCAGCAGAGGTGCGTGAAGGCCAGTGGCGGCCAAGCCCAGATACAACTCCAGCCGAGTTTGCAAAACAAAGCTCATGGATTTTCCTGTCTCCATGCACTAAGCTCCCTAATATCTACCTCAGTCCAGGACCCTCCTACAAACAGTTTCTCTCCAAGTCCTCTGGCCACTTCTTAGCCAATTAGGATTTTCTATTCCCTATTTCCCACTGTTCCTCAAACCACAGACTCACACTGGGCTGCGTGAGGAAGGGACAGTGGCTACTACAAAGACAGCCTACACTGTCTGTGGCCACCCAGGCCGGCTTCTGGGACACGTTCCCAGGCCCTTCCATCTCTGCCCATACAGACCACCGCTCTCACACCAGGATACCTTCACTGCCAGGCCATGAGGCCTGTGTGTCCGGCTTTGCTGGGCGTTGTCTTGGGTGGCGGTGGCAGCGGTGGCAGCAGTGGCAGTGGCAGCAGCCTATTCTCTGGAAGGCCTTAGCTAAAGGGCTGAGGTGGAGTGTGCTTAGAAAGTACACTTTCCACCCATCACCCTGGTGCCCTAGTCTGGAGCCCAGGACAAGCTCTTTTCCGCTGACCTTGACCCCAAACATGCAGGAGCTCCACTGTGTACTTGATCGTGTACCCAGATCGTACTCTATCGGAAGCCTGATGAGCAGACAGCCCCTGGATGTGGGTTACCTGAGCAGACCGCTGATGTCAAGCGCCCGTTCCCCTCCCTGTACTGTGAGGAGCTCAGTGGAAGCAGAAACGTTAATGAGGGTGTGAGGGGAGTCCTGAGGTACTGGGGACAGCTGCACCTACAAAAGGGGTGCATGTAACATGCCTGGGGCTGGGCAGCCTGTGTCCCACCACCCTGTTTCTCTGGGGTGCCTGTGGGCCCCAGACACTCTATTTTCAAGATGCCTGCACACTGCTTCTTGGCAACAAGAATGTAGCTCAGCCAATTAGAGTGACCTTCGAGAGGGAACAGGTGGGTTGCTGGGAAACAGGCCCAGCTAAGCAGGCTTGGCAATTAACATCGCCAAACTCCCAGTGCGCACTCAACTTTCCTCAAGCGGTGCCATGCCACACCTCTTTGCTCTGAGCTACATTTAGGACCAGGGGTGAATGGGTCTGGGCCTCCTCCTCCAGCTATCCACACAGACCCCCCCCCCACTGTTCTGTAGCTGCCCTTGCATTGGTTTCAGCTCCCTAAGGACCCTGGCAGGCGCTCGGTGGGGCATCTCAGGGTAGGAAGGCAGATGCTGTGGGCTGCCGCATCTTTGCGCAGCTGGGGTATCAGGAGTTTGAGAACTTACCTGTAGAGAGGACAAAATAAAGGTCAGCTGGGTGTGGGGCCCTGGAGTCTGTCCTCAGCCTCCCTGGAGACACAGGCCTGGGAGGGCCAAGGAGCCTCTTCCAGGAGGGCCAGACACATCTGCCCTAGCCCAGGGCCATCTTGGAGCATGGAGCCTTTGGAGCCACCCAGTGAGCAGCTGTGCCCCTCTGACCCATGTGCCTTTTCTTCACCAAGGCTGTGCAAAGTCCCGGAGTCTAAACAACATAGCCGGAGCGGCTGGAACCAGTCTGGGGCTGTCTCCACTGGCGTCGCGGTACAGCTCGCCCTATCCTCCAAGAAAGCTCCTGCTGTCCCACCCCTTTCACCCCCTCACCAGCCCCCCGCCCGGCCCCTCAGCTCCCTAGCTGCACCCCTGACTTTCCTTGGGGCACAGGAATGCACCCAAGGAGGACATCAGCCACCACCCAGCCCTCGTCCCTCCTGGGGCTGAGAGGACAAAGGCGGGAAGCTGGAGGAGGATTCCGGGCCCTGGGCTAGGTGCTCCTCGAGACTTTCAGCTCTGGAACCTGAGTGCAGAGAGGAGGGCTTACTTCCGGGGCCCTGAGCCCTCCACTGCCCCTCGCTGTCTCCTGAGCCATAGGTGCTGGCATGCTCACACCCTGCCTGCCCTCGGGTCCTGTGGGCCACGACTGGTTCACCCTGGGCCTGGGACCAGCCGCCTTGCCAGGGAGCCTTGGTTCCAGGAGCATGTCTGCATTTCCATTCCTAGCGGCCTTCAGCCGATAACCAAACAGCCTATCTGTCTGTCTGTCTCTCCCTTGCACATGAGACCAGTGAGGAATAAGGTTGTCATGTGGGAAATCTCTGCTGGCATAAGGGGCTTTTGATTCCTCAAAAGAGCAGTGCCCACAGCCAGTGCCGCCTGGGAGAAGGGCCCCGGTGTTTTCCACCTCTAGTCCGGGGTGCAGGTGGGAGTGCCTAGACTTGCCACCTCCAGCTCGGTGGGGCCATAGGTGGCTGCTGCCAAGGTGCAGGAGACCCTTCTCTCTGAGTGGGTGGCACCCAGCGGTGGAGCCCAGCCTCCCATCTGCAGCCCGCACTGCAGCATCTCTCTCCCCTGCTTCCTCTGCTTCCGAGATAGCGAGCCTCTCTCTCAAGCTCCCTCAGACTTCCAGCCCGGCCTCTGAGTCACCTGCCACTCCCACCCAGCTTCTGCATCCCGTATTCCTGCCAGAACCGGAGACTCATCTAATTTCTATAATTAAGTGTATTCATTTACCTAACAAGCCCGGGAGCACAACAGGTCTGAGTCACTGGCTGAGCAGGGGTGCACCTTGCGCAGGGACAGTGGAGGGGAAGTGAGGAGACAGAAGCACCTGCCCGCACCTACTGGCACTGCTCTCAGCGAGGCCCACATCTGCCTGTATCTGCCCCCTAAGGCTCCCTGAGCAGGTCCTTCTCCACCAGACCCAGGAGCCAGGGCTCAGCCGAGACATTTCCTGTTTCACCTGACGGGAATTAGACCTGACAGCAGAGCCCTACGCCTGGCAATTTTTAGAGTCAGATTATGCAACTTTGTAGCGGGAGTGACTAAGGAGGAGGGTCCCTATCTACTCTCTCCAGGGCAGGAGAGATAGGCATGACAGGACAGCTTTTAGAGACCTGGCAGGAGACTACATAATTGGGGGCCACCCCAGAAGGTGGCCTGGACAAAAAGAGCCATGCCAGTGCCTGCATCAGCTCAGCAGTCACAGGATGTCCTTGCCAGAACGGCCTGCTCACTGCTATCACACTGCATACCCCAGCCCAGCTGTGGTGTGTGAGGCCTGCTGTCACTTCCTCTTAGAATGAAGTGACCAGGCTGCCCTCCAGAGGGGACAGGCCCCGTTACGTGGTGGGTGGGACAGCCTGTGGGGAGGGTCAGGACACCAACACCCTCTGCCCTTGAAGTAGAGCCCGAGAGCCCAGCTTCCCCACCACATGTCCAGCCCCACTCCACAGGGCTCCCAGCATAGGACATCCTGGGTGGGGCCTAACAGGGGACACAACAAACTAGGTGTGGACAGCTACATCCTCCACTCACTCGCCACTGTGGTCCAGGGAGCCGAAGCGGATGTTTCTGTGGCAGCCCTCAGCTTGTCAGGAGCCCAGGTTTCCACGGCACCCACCGCCTCCTCCCCTCTTCCCTCCTACAAGGATGGGAGTGCTCATGGCACCCCTGTGGGGGACACAGATGTCCCTGGGCGATGTGATGCAGAAGTACCAGGCTGGAGCCCCTCATGCCTGGGGGAGGGGGCTCCCATGATCCTGCCCAACTCTTGTCTTCATAGAGGAGGGACAAGGCTCAGCGGGTGGGAGCACTGTGTGTGGGCCTGCCCCTAGCTACCCTTCAAGACCTCTGGGCCTTCCCAGGACCCTGGAAAGGGGTGAGCCCCAGCACTCCAGAGCCTGCATGTACTCCAGGCCTATCTGTGCCACTGCCCCATCCCACCCCCAGGACTTGGGTATCCCTTCTGGAGAGGCTTTCTCCCACCCACACTCTGGGAGTGTAATTTGCTTTGCCTTGGATTGGGCTTGAACTTGCACCTGGTATTTCAGTTTTTAGAAACCTTTCTCTGCAGCTGGGCCTCACCTTCTTCCCATAAAGCAGGGAACAACCTGTACAGGAGCTCTTAGCTTCACCTTCCAGTCTGTACCAGGACTAGCCAGAGAGTGATTCTCAGTCTCCCAGCTTCCAGGAGAGGTGGTTATGAGGTGCCCCCAGAGGAAAAGTGACGATAACTCTGTGGCAGACAGGACCTAGAGGGCAGGTGGAGGGCCTAGTCCTAGGCTCTAGGAGGCACCTGTGGACCTCTCAGTCACCTGGGTGGTGATTGAGACTGGCTGTGGTGGTGTTTGCCTATAATCCCAGCACTTGGGAGGCTGTAAACAAGAGACTCACTCCTTCACAGAGTGCGTGGGAGAGCAGGACCTCCTCTACTCTGGCCAGTGTCACCCTCTAATATACCTTTCCCATTCCTGTTGGGTCAAATAAAGTAGGTTTTAAAATAAGATTCTCTTAAGAGCCCCCAGGAAGTAGAGACCTCGGAAGCCAATGAAAAAGCCACCTAAATCCAGGCATGGTGGCACAAATCTGTAATCTTAGCTACTTTGGAGGCTGAGGCAGGAGAATTACAAGTTCAAGTCCAGCCTGGGTGACTTAGGAAGACCATGTCTTAAAAAATAAAGAGCTGGAAGGGACTGGGCGGGTAACTTAGTAGGACAAGTCTCTTCCTGGCAAGCTAAAGGTCCTGAGTTTGATCCCTGTCCCCACACATACAAAAAAAGGAAAGGGTTGATGTTCTAGGGCCAGCCAAATAGCTCAGCAGATTAAATCACCTGGCACAGGGGCCAGGGGTTCAATCCCTGGGCCTGCCGTGCTGGCCCCACCCCCAGGGCACACTGAGGTGGTGATTGAGACTAGGCGTGGTGATTCACGCCTGTAATCCCAGCACTTGGGAGGCTGTAAACAAGAGAATCACTGAGTCCAATCTAGTAGTGAGACCCTGAACACCCTGTAGACCCTTCCCTAAAATTAAAAAAAAAAAAAAATTTTATTTAAAAAAAAAAACCCAGCTGGAAATACAGCATGTGGGAGGCCTTGAGTTCAATCTCCAGTACTGGAAAAAAAAAAAACAAATCCACAGAGGCCCTTCTGTCCTCCCAGAATGCCTCTTGTCTGTTCCCTGTCACCCTGGCCAAAACCCTGAGGAATCTCAGGCCTTCCTACCAGTGTGACTTAGGCCCTCGGGGCCTACAGAGAATCCAGGGACTCCTTCCTTCCTAGCAAAGGACAACCAGTGGCTGGGAGTTGCTCAGATCATGCAGGCAGGTCAGTGTCAGGAGTCCTTAGGAAGATGACCGTTCCCTCTGCTTGTCCTCAAAATTAGATTCTCGGACTTCCTCCAAGAATACTATAGGCCAAGGGGCAGTATTTATAGGGTAGCCGAGGCCCACAGTCTTAAGGAGATGGGAATTGTCACTCTAAACTGAGCACACTCTTTCCCCCAGAGCAAGGTCCAGGACAGAAGTCTTGAAGTCTGCAGTCCCCTCCGGTAGCCACAGGGGCTGTCCCAGCACCTCCCTGGAGAGGCTGAAGCTCCCCCCTGCACTGTTGGCCAGCCTTTCTGGCTGACCCGCTGCTGCTGGGAAGCAGGGCGAGAAGGTGCCAAGCCTCAGATGTTCTAGGTTGAAGATAAGGGGCCCAAGAAAGCTCTCTGAGGGGTAGAATCTCAGTAAAATGTCGCTTGCCAACCCTCTTCTCTTACCTGAGGCTGCAAGCCCTCCATCTGCTGGGTCTCTTTCTGTCATATTGAGAATGGGGCTGGGTAAGACACACTCCACAGTTTCTACCTTCTTTACCAGTGCTTTGGGATGCTGTTCAGGGTGGTGCAGATCCAGGGTAATCCAGATGGAGGTTTGGGGGGAGCGCTCAAGTTGGGCAGTAGTGGCTGGGTGAAGGTCTTTGAGCCACAGTGAGCATCGGGAACTTTCCTCACCCCCTCCTGCTAGGCTGTAGAGCACTGACCCTCGCTGCACTGGAGCCCTGAAAGTAGCTCTTAGAGCTGTGGTCACTGGGGCAGGAAGGGGATGAGCTGCCCCAGCACTCAGGTCCCAGGGCCCAGAGCTGGGCTGGCCGGTGGGTGATGAAGGGCTCACCCCTTCCCTCCCCACCCCCGCTCTTCCTGGCCTCAGCCCTGGGGTCCCTGTGCTTTCTACCTCTGCTCCTGGCCTGCTCCTCAACCCATAGCCTGTGAGGCCGTGGCCGGCCTCCTTCTAACATCTTGTTCTTTGTTTCTCCCTTTCTTTTGCTGAACTCCTTGCCCCCCAGAAGGCAATGTTGAGCCGAAAGCGTGCGTCCCAGTGTCTCACACCTGTGTTCTTTAAACACAGAGATCTGCCAAGACGCCCTCTCGTCCAACTATGCCCAGGCTGAAGTCCTCACCCTCTCTTAAAGCGGCACCAACGTGAGAGAGACAGGCAGACAGACAGCCAGAGGCTTAGGGAAACTCTGGAACCCAAGCACGAATCTTTCGCTGAGAAAGACCCTGATATCCTTGTTTGTACAGGACTGGTGGAAAACCTCCCATGTGACCCTCGGGGCCCAGAGCCATCCGGGTCTGATGTTTTGTTCTATTGTACATGGAAGAGATATATATGCACATATAGTATCTATATTAATACATGCTATACCCTTGTGTGTAGTGCACGTGCTATTGGTGGTCTCTCGTGTTTGTTAGGCTGTGTCTCCCCAAGCTCTCTATCCGCCCCGAGTTTCCTTCCCCCTCACAAATTCCTATTTCTTCTGACAGTAAGTGGAGTGTCCCAGGAAAAGTCCCCCTGGGAAGTGCCTGGCTACTCCTCCAGGATGTTTTCCTGTCAGAAAGCAGCCTGTTGAAGGCCACACTGGCCCCCCCACCCCAGGGTCACTGCTTCTCTAACCCAACCCCACCCCAGGTTGGGGTTCTACCTCCTACCCCACATCCCAGTTGTGGGGGACTCCAGAGGCTCCTCTGCAGACGCTTCTACTCCCAGCGCTCCGTGTCCTTGACAGAGGGGGGCGTTTTATTGTTTTCATTTTTAATTTTTTTTGTTATGTCTCCTTCATCTGTTTGTTTTCAAAGACACTGCTGGGCAGATGGGCAGGGAAGGGGTCTGTCTGCCCATCTGGCTCAGGGTTCTGAGAAGGGGATGCCTTGGGCAAGAGGAGACCAGGTGCAATACTGTACTTCCTGGCCAGTGGCCAGAGGACGCGTGCAATAGCAGGGGCCAGGTGACCCCTTCAGCCTTGGCCTCTGCCCCTCCTTCGGCCCTCCCTTCCCTCCTGGCCCCTCCCTGCTGTTGGTCAGTCCTTTTCTAAAGCTGTCCTTGTGTGTGTGTCTGAGGCATGCCTAGGCCAGGCCCTGACACCCTGTCCGCATGCCTTCAACTGTCATGCTGTGCTCGAGCCCCAATAAAGACATCGAAGTGTCCTGTTGCTCCTTTATATCTGCCTCCGTCTCTTCTTTCTGGCTCTGGGTCTGTGGGGACTTCCCTGGCTCCCACTCCCAACACCTGAGCGAGGCAGCCCATCTATGCATAATTGCGCTCTACCGGGAATCCTGTGTGCAGCCAGGCCCTGGTTTTACAGTTAGAGGTGAATGTTCAGAAGAGAGGGATCTGCCCCAGGCCATACTAAGCAGACTAACTGAGGTCTCTGACTCCCACGCACTACTGCCACCTGATCCCCCATAAAGTAGCAGTGTTTTGTTGAGGGAACTCCGTTGCATTCCCACTGGTTTGTGCTGGGGGCCTCCCTCCTCCCTGCAGCTCCCCCAGAGCTAAGTGGGACAAGACCCTGGGGATGCCATTCATGGCTGGCTGGCTGGCTGGTGCACTGAGGCCAACTGGGGACCACTTAAGAGAGGGGAAATGAACACGCCCAGACCCAGGCAGGATGAGCAGAGGGTCTGCAGTGGTCAGACGCTGTCCATACCCAACACTGTCGCTGTCCTTCTCACCCATATAAGAGTCAGCGCAAGGCTGGCGTTATGGTCTGCAGCCCAGGGTGAGATACTCAGGTGGTGTTGCCACTGTGGAATTGTTGAACAAGGAGCCATACACTTTCATTTTGCATCACACTGTGAACTACACAGCCCCCAGTGGGTGCATGCTTGTCTCTCCCTTCTCTTGTCTCCTCACTTCCTCTTGGCATAAATGAGCAGCCCCTGTTCAGTCTTGGTCTGCTACTTACTAGCTAGGTAACTTGGAGGCAGCTCCTTAAACCTCAGTTTCCCCATCCGTAAGATGGTAAAGATGACAGCACCTGTTCCAGAGGCAGCGTCACAGCCTGGTGAGTGCCACGTGTCCACATGTGGCACAGAGTAGATGCACAGGAAGTGCTCCTGTTCCCTTCGGCCTTGACCTGCGGCTCTCAGACTTTTCTCTGCAGAGCTCTGGATTCTGTGTATCCAGTCACACCCAGGAAGGACAAGAGCAACTTGGAGCTGTGCAGGGTAGCACCCAACAGCAGGGTGAGGCCGAGGGAAGGAAAAAGCCAGGGGAAGCCTGTTCCTGAAGCAGCGGAGAGAATCGGCTCGGAGCCTGGCCAGCAGCGGAGGCAAGGCAGTGGCAGGCAGCCAGTTGTCAATTAAAGATAAAATCTCTCCTCCAGCAGTGGAGGGCAGATAGGGCTTGCCCCCCCCCCCCCCCCAGACAGGAGAAAGCCATTTGCAGCCAGGCTTGTTCGGAGAAGCTTGGCCAGGCGATAATGGGTTGGGATGCGCTGCTGGCTCTGTAATGATATTACGCATCAAGGCCCGCATCCAGAAGAGCTGTTTTCTGTTTTGTTTTTGTTTTTCTGTAGATCAGTGTGGAACCATTTCATGAGGAGGAGATGAGAACCCACCAAACAGCCTGGGGGGACCTGATGCCAGGAGGGTTCCTGGGGGGGGACCTGAGAAAGTGTAGCTGGGATGCACCATGACACCTTTGGAGCCCGGGAGGAGAGGGGCAGACTTGGGCCAGAGAAGTAGTCGCTGGAGCTGTCAAGGAAGCTGCTCGGCCTCTGATGGGCCCGCAACTGGAGCAGGCCCCAACCTGGGAGCGGCTTAGGAAGGAGCATGGAGCTCTAATGCTTCCGATGGGCTTTTGAAGTCGGTGGACCTGAGTTCAAGCCTGCCTGTCATTTTCTAGTTGTGATGTGACGTAAGCGCCTACACCTTCATTCCTTGTCTTCACCATGGAAGTACAAGTCGCTTCTACTCCTGTTGAGGCGAATATGGGAAGAGGACTGTGGAGCAACTCCCTCCAATAGCACAAAATTTGGTTTGATGCCCTCACTTTGCAAAATCTGTGCAATGTGTTAGCCTCATTTCAGTGAGGGCTGTATCTTCATACTTATCTTATGAAGGAGTAAGTTGGGATAATTCCAAACAGCCGACATTCATAGAGTGTAGGCCATACATTGAGTGCTCATAAAAATGCACTCGGAGGTTGGTGTTATCACTGTCTTCGTGCCGCAGGGGAGCAAAGCACAGCACAGCAATGTCAGGTTACTTCTCCAAAGACACACAGCCACCGAGCAGCGAAGTGGGGCTTCAGACCCACCCTAGCCGACTCCAAAGCATGATGCCCCGCCCACTGTCTAAAACTGAATGGGGAC